GTGTTTGAATTAGGTACCTTAACGCACGTTCATTAAAACACTTGTCTAGTGTGCATTCAGGGTTACGACTGAAGCTGATAAGAACCTGAGTCTTCAAAAGCCTTAAAAACAACTACTTAAGGGTTACCAAGTTGAAATTCTATGAACTAAGCTACGGCTCTCTGAACATAAATACTAATGCCAGTAAGAGTATTAGACTAATTCGTTTACCCATCTAAAATGATGTCTTAATTTTCAGACTACTACCTCTTTTCAAGTAGTATACGTGCACATGTTTATTTTATGGGATCTGACTCGACATACCCATGAATTACGTTTTGGTCGATATTACTCTCTCAGCTCTGATATCATTGCAATTTTTTTTAAATAATGAGCTTTTCAGAGATTTAATTCCACTTGTGTTTCTATCCCGAAGACAATAAGAAGGTGATTTTTTTACTATGAAAGGTGTTATATTAGTATATTGGAAATGTTGACAATAATGCAAAAGTTCTTTTACAGAAGGAAGACTGTATCCAGCAATGACGATTGTAAAACAGTTTTTTGAAATATTGATGAGTTAACTGACTGAAGTGGTAGTATGAAAATCAGCCTTTATTTTGTTCATCCTAGAGTTCATCTATATATATATATATATATATATATATATATATATATATATATATATATAAAGAAAAAAGTCAAAGACCTAAGTCGGTATTGTAAGTCATAGACATTAAGAAAAAATTTAATTTAGAGGTTTGTAAGAATACATTTAATGATTCCAAGTTAGTGTGCCTCTTAAACTGCTAACATTTGGAGAGAATCATCAAAAACCTGGGAGCACTGGACACCTGTTTCATCCTAGTATGGGATTCCGCAGAAATGCGCGCCCATAACTTCCCCAGGTATCGGACTTAGGCCGTCCAGGCTCCTTTAATGCTTTTCTTACCCATATTGACACAAGCGAGCGTTCCTATAGGTTGATTATTTTACTAAGAGCGAATGAATTAAAGTTTGTTCCAAAAATAGCTTAAGATATAGTGGAATTTCAGAAGCAGTCATATTTAGTAAATTCTATGATATGAAAATTCAGCATTCTACTTAACTTCTATTTAATTGTGATTCCAAATTATTATCGCAATATTACATTTTTCTCAGACACAAATTCACATACTGTTGTCAAGTGTCTTGTGAAATATCAGAAGCCTCTTTCACCTATCTAGGCGAGGCAGCATTGTTTCAACTACAGAGGCGGCACAAATAAGGACGTCAAAGCAGACAGGATCGGAAAGACAACAAGACACGCCCTCATTAACCTGAAACCAGTGTGGAGATCTACTCCACTCCACTCCATTCCACTCCACTCAGCATAAAGCGTGAACAACATCCAGATTTTCAATACCAATTCAGTCAAGTCAGTGCTTAAATGTGATGGTTGACAGACTTGGCGCCGCGTTACGAAAGGCATTTCTAACAAACAACTGTAGATATTCATCAACAACTGCCACCTACACTGGCTCCATACTGAAGATCAAATGGATGGCCAGAATAATAAGAATGAACAACAAGGAACTCACTCTGGCTGACTGGCAACCAACCAACCAACCAACCAACTCAACACATATGCACTGGAAGGAAGTGGAGATGGATTGGAGTGAGCATACACTGAGAAGGCCGATTGGGGACATCACGCGTCAGGTGAGGCACTCGAGTGGAACTCAGATGGGGAATGGTGAGTTGGGCGTCAGTGCCGAGGTGAAGGTGATATGGAGGAGATTGTATGAGGAGGAAATGAGAGCTTGTGGTCTGTTGTGCAGCCATGTTGGAAAGTTTTTAGAGAGGAGAGTGTAATGGAGATGTGCTACTGAATTTCTATGTTCCACTAGGAACCCAAAGGACAAATAATAATAATATTAATTACACAACCATCTGATGAAACAAGGATTGTTGTAACATTTTTACACCGAGTTAACAGCTATGTCTTACACATGAGATTGAAAGTCACAAATTTTATATAACAGTTAAGAATAGTATCTCCATCCACTTCATAAAGAAGTCTTCGTTATGAAGTTACTGTTGAGAAGGTCATCAAGCCTAGTGATGAAACATCTACAACAAAATATCAAAGCTCAAAGAACACCAAACCACGATCATCATCATCCTGAACTGTAAATGGTATCTATATCAATGTAAATCACATCAAATCTAGAAATTCAACAATCATAATATCTCAAGTTGTTATTCATCGAAGACTGACATCAGTTGGAGGAACAAAGGAAACCTGGGAGCACTGGACAGCAAGCTGTCTCGTCCTAGTATGGGACCCCTCAGCAGTGCGCACCCACGGCCCCACCAGCAGGGACCGGACCCGCGACCTTCAGGTTCCGTGGCCAGCGCGTTACCATTGAGCCACTGGGTCAGAATCCATTGCTCCATATTTCCAACTTCTGTTAGCTCACGATATAGCGCAAACCGCCACCCAATGTCATTGTTGAGTATTTGTCCTCACGGCTATCAGGCTTGACTCCACCGGTCACGACTTGTCATTGGAACTTCGGGAATACTTCTCGAAGCTATTCACCAACGAGCACTAGTTGAATTAAATTTTGAGGGGGTTGTGGAGATTTGGAAATATTTCAAGTTGTTATTCATCGAAGACTGACATCAACTTCAAAAAGCTATTCAACTTGAAGCATTTCATAACACATGAATGTATAAGCAGTAACAGTAAGTAAATAGGTCTTTCTAACAATACGAACGTTAAAGTGTTTCACTTGAAAGTTAGCTTCTGTACTAAAAAGGTGACCTGCTTAAACATTGAGCTACAAAAATCTCTCCATTGAATATATCTCATTAAATTCTCCCCTTTCAGTCTTTTATAAACGTACATCTTTAAAAATAATTTGGAACTCGGAAATACGACACTTTACTACTTTTCGATAACGCTATTAGAAGACTAAGATTATCTGAAAAATGGGATGTATTTGCGCAATACATTTCGAACAATCTGATCACACATTCACTTGTCAAGTCAAGTATATATATGAAAATTAAAGGTCAAATCTAGTGAAAATGAAAAGGTTGTGACACTAGTCTTTGTAATATAATCAGATAAGGATTACCAAGGTGAATTCAGTGAAACAACAAATTGTTTTTGTACACACAGTAGGGGATTAAGTTTACTAATGGCTAACGCTTCGGCAAACTTCAGTATGCGCCCCTGATTATTCCTGTATATTATCTTAAACGCTGTTTTCATATTGACCCTGTGATTCATTTCAACAATATGTTTTGCTATAGATGACGATGGATGTCTGTCACCTGCATTTATCAAGGTTTGTGTGTTAAACTGTTTTTCTAGCCATTTGGGGATGTGTTCATCCACCGTAGTCTGCATTGAACGATTACTCCTCCCGATGTATATGTGCCCACACATACATGTAAATTGGTAAACACAGTTGGATGTGATGAAATCATTTGTGCGAGGTTGAGGTTTGTGGTGAAGCAGGTGTTTTGTCGTCTCAACAATGATAAGCTGAGCTGCATAGTATGTTTTATTGATAACAGATTTTAATCTCTGCTTCAATATCATACTGCTTGTTTCCCCTCTGTATGGTACTTTAAGAAATATGCTTTTCTACGGGACCCAGGAAACTATAGGCTTTAAGGTCAACTGTTTTTTTTTACAATGGTTGACAAACTGCAATGGATAACCGTTTTCCACTAGTGTCTGTCAGAAACCTATTCTCATCATCCATCGTATCAGATGTACAAATACGTTGGATTCTATTGAATAAGCATCTTACTAAGCCTCTCTTATATTTCATCGGACAAAAACTATGGAAATTCAAATACTGTCCTGTCCAAGTAGACTTCCTATATATTGACCGTCTTATAGATCCACCTTCCCTCCGGCACAAGAGTATATCAAGAAATGCAAGTTGATGTTCTTTTTCTTCCTCACATGTCAGACTTATATGAGCTTGTACGGTATTAAGCCTTTTTAACAACTTCTTGGCATCCTTATCTGTGTCACATATTACAAAGATATCATCCACATACCTTCTATAGAGTGTGACATGGGTGATTAGATCTTTATTATTTCTAGACTACCGATGTCGAATTGCAAATTTCGTACTAGTTGACTGAATTACCACCACCTAAGTTACACTCCAGCATTCAACATCGAATATGTGTTCATCTCGCAGTCCAGACCAGATGGTTACTTACCACCAACAGGCCATTTCATACTAATGCCCTGAATCCTGTTATTAATCAACACTATAAATAGTGTACAGGAGGCATATTTGTGGCAATATTACACGATATCATGTAGCAGTGTTGTGGATGCAAGGTAAATGTCACGCAAGTTAGAATCACCGCCTGTGGCAGTTGGGACGGTGGCCATTAAATATGGCACACCTTACACTAAAACCATCATTTGCAAATATGCTTCGTTTCGTTTTCTGCTTCTCTCCTGATTTGCTCTTTACACATTCTTATCAGCAACACCCACTGTAGTATGCCTGCGTTATCCCTTATATTGCTCTTGGCAGAATCCTTACGCACTGCTGGTAATTCCCTATGATTTCTGTCACCCTCTCAATATATACTACTTATATCCATTCTTATCAGCAACGCCCACTACACGTTGTTTGGACTAAAGCTATTATTATTATTATTGTTAACAAATAAGTAGCTATTACTATTTCTCGATGTGCTTGTAATTCTCCGTTGTTTTACTGCATCGAATTGTTTGATCTCTATAAGTATATGGGATTCTATGCGGATGTCTCAATATTGCCTGAATGTTAATTATAGTAATTTACTTGGTTATGCCAAGCAGAGGAATCCAGGACGTTCGTCCTGGATTAAAATTTAAATTAAAATAAATAGCTATTGAATTTGTTTTAATTAATCTGTCCACAAAGTAAAACAGTGCCAAGAAAACTAGTACAATTGCTTTTAATTCATAAAGTATGTATATTTACTATTCAAATATCTATACCACTAAAAAATACATCTGTATTTTATTGTCGGAAATGTTTAAAAAACTTTCATTTTCTGTTGTTCTGGACACAATTATGGCTTTGGTTTAGGTAGTGGTGGTGGTGGTGGTGACTTTTTAGGTGGATTTGTAGGTGGAGTTTGAGGTTTTCTCAGCGGTCTTGGTGTTACTGCAAACAACTGCCTTAAATCTGCACTTTCTAGCTTTTCATATTCATTTTTAATATATGTTGCTTGTTCATTCAATGTTCGATAACGACACAGATCATTGTAATAACCCATGACTTTTTCAAAATCAGCTTCCGGTGATTCATTCTGTATATCTGTTAGAATGGAAGAAATCTAATTAAATGCATAGATTATATGAAATGTAGCACGTCATACCTGAATATGATCTCGTTCGTTAACATTTAACGTTGATAGGTACTTGCGGGTGCATATTTAGACATAACTGGTAAATTAACTATCCCAATGTCCTTAATGCTTTATTCGTTCGACAAACTTTGAGCGATTTAGTAGTAATCATGGATAGCATTATCCGTTAAGCCACTAGGCTGTCCCACCTCAGAGGTCTAATGGATAACGCTCTGGAGTTTGAAGCGACTGATGCTGGATTTAAGTCCTAGTGGGAACAATATCGCTCACTAGCATGTAGGCACATCTAGCTGATGGATCTCAAATGGGGCAAAATTCGATTCGTGGATTCCACTGCTAACTATTATCCATCATCAATATTAAAATCAAAACTACATACAATATCGAGGCATTCATGCAGGATCCCGTATGCCAATAGAGGTTGGTCAATTCGGTTCAATCAACGACAACGAATTACATGGAATAACATCAAAATTAGATTGAAACTGAGATTTAACATTATGAAGGTCGTCAGCTGGAGGTATCTGCACTGCTGTGAGTGATTTTTCTCAAACCTAGACTCGAACCCAGTATCCATCGCTTAAAACGTATTTATACTTGTATTTTCTTGTTCGAGTCCAAACGGGAGCAACAACACTAGCAGGGTGCAGATAAATCTGGCTAGTGAATCCCGAATAGGGGGGGAGGAATGCGTCTTGGATCCCAGTGCTGGCCAAGATCAACCGAATTACATAAAAATTTAAAACCGTAGTGAATGACTAATCACCATATTCCCTGCTAAGTCACTTAAGCTTTCTAAGTGCAGGTATAACATTTTAAGCCAAGAAAGTGCCAAAGAGTAAGAATGGTCCGAAAAGGCTATTGACTTAACAACAGTTCATGGTATTGCTTTAATTAAGTATTGTATACTGTCAAGGTTAACATATTATTTAATTATTATTAATGACGATAATCTTAAGCAATGAAAAACATGTACGACCCATTCTTAGTTGATGATACTTCGGTGCGAGAAGTTGTCAGTAAATTACAGACATGATGTGTGATCTTATTCAACATTTAGTGACAATGAGTGACTTCTTATCGACCAGTAGAGACATCACTTTACTTAACTGGGAAAGTACTGAGTTTCATCCACAAACAATTTCCTATTATACTTTGTAATGTCAAGATGTGTTGAAAGAGTATTTTGTTAGACTACACATGCACTAAGACACCATAAACCTTTCAAACAATAGGAGTTTTTTTCGACAACTCTATCAATCATTTCCACATAATTGCATCTTTTCACCCTTGCACTAGTGAACCATCGATCGAATCAAGCCAAGCAGGGTAGAACAATGATCCAGTATTTTTATGTTGTTGGCTATCGTGAAACAGTGGCCTATTGGATAACGTTCTGGCGTTGAGGCAGTCAGCAATGGGCTCAAGTATTTGAGTAAACAACACCAGACGATCACTTGAGAGTCCCAAATAAGACGGAACGTTAGTCCTACGTTCCTCTGCTAGTTACTATCCATCATTACAACCATCTCAGCATTTCTGTCTATTTATTACACTGCAGACTTTTGATCTCAGTGGATGCTATCTAACTATGAATGTTGTTCAATGACATATTCCACGACCTAGTGGAAAGAAATATTTTGTTTAACAGCTCTTCACTTTCCAAATTATCGTTGTCAGTGGCAACATACATTTCAGCTTCAGTATAAACAATAAAAATATTTTTCATGATCTGTTTTATAATACTTAATTGTATTCTTATTATTCTCCTTGAGACAAAGAATTTTGCATTATAACACAGAAACTAGAAGTGAGAATAGTATCCCATTGAAGCAAAAAAGTAGGTTCATGATACAAACAAAAATCAATAATGGTTTGTTCGTCACACCCACTTATTGGGACAACTTTATTCATTAGATACTGTTTAAGATTTAATCCTGTAAGTAAAGCCAAAACAAAGAAACCACTTGACTCACATAATTTTCGTGGATTATCTTTTATCTTTATGCATTTTAGAAGTGAATTTCGTAAAGTTTTCTAAACGAAAAACTAATTTGTTGAATATTTTTAGTAAATGAGAGATATTACTTTAAAAAAGTTGATTCATTTCTAGTCATATAAATCCTAACCCTTAAACTAATGACTTTTACAGTGTTAGTCAAACCGATGTTTGTCCTTCAAAGTTCAGGTAAGTAGCTGTATTACACTATATGATTTCAAGTGGTTCAAGGAGCAAAATACATGAAACACAAACAGTACTTAAGATAAACTCTGACACTGTTCTCATACTCATGCAAAGTCAATATTAGTAATGAATAAGGGTGGGTCATATCAAAATCTCATAACTTCTGAAGTCTTGCTGATGACTGGTTGACTTTCATTGTGATTATCCTGTTGGATATTTTAATACTACAGTTTACTTTTCTTTAAGTGTATCCTTCAAGCTGATTAAATCGTAGAAGACTTATGTACATTTTTCAGCGTCTTGAAGTATATTCTTTTACTAGCCTACTTGATCATATGATATATCATCTCTACAAAAATACTTGTGATTTTTTTACTTTTTCTCCATATATCTAAACTTTAAACACACTTGCTTACTTATGAGCTAGTCATTAGTGAACATTTTTAACTTTAGATAGAAATTTTACAAGTACACGAAAAATTTATACTGAATTGTCTTTTATTTATCATCTTAAGTGAAAATGTTTTGAAATGCCACGTAGAGTTGACTTTATATTGATGAAGGCGTCACTAACACTGGTGTAATGATAATGATGATAATAATAATAACAGTAATAATAATAATAATCTCTTTATTCCTGACAGGTAAAAACACCATATGATTCAGTATTTACATGACAAATTCTGGTAAGTTAAATGTGTTTAATCCACCAGAAGATATTCATTTGATTTGATTAATTTCGAAAGATATAGGCAAGAACTTGATACTAAACATAACACTATTTCTCAGTATTCCTAAGGTAAATAACTAGCATATATGTGAAATTATTAGGAATACTTAATTAAAATCAAGATCCATAAATCAACCTACCTAGGCACCACTATTTCAACTACAGAGGCGGCACAAATAAGGACGTCAAAGCAGACAGGATCGGAAAGACAACAAGACACGCCCTCATTAACCTGAAACCAGTGTGGAGATCTACTCCACTCAGCATAAAGTGTGAACAACATCCGGATTTTAAACACCAATTCAGTCAAGTCAGTGCTTATATGTGATGGTTGACAGACTTGGCGCCGCGTTACGAAAGGCATTTCTAACAAACAACTGTAGATATTCATCAACAACTGCCACCTACACTGGCTCCATACTGAAGATCAAATGGATGGCCAGAATAATAAGAATGAACAACAAGGAACTCACTCTGGCTGACTGGCAACCAACCAACCAACCAACCAACTCAACACATATGCACTGGAGGAAGTGGAGATGGATTGGAGTGAGCATACACTGAGAAGGCCGATTGGGGACATCACGCGTCAGGTGAGGCACTCGAGTGGAACTCAGATGGGGAATGGTGAGTTGGGTGTCAGTGCCGAGGTGAAGGTGATATAGAGGAGATTGTGTGAGGAGGAAATGAGAGCTTGTGGTCTGTTGTGCAGCCATGTTGGAAAGTTTTTAGAGAGGAGAGTGTAATGGAGATGTGCTACTGAATCCCTATGTTCCACTAGGGACCAAAAGGACAAATAATAATAATAATAACTAAATGAAAATGATGCCTATAACGAAACATATGGATAGAATCCTTCAAAGTGGACTTAAGAAATCAGTGTGAAATAACACACCAAGTGATGCCTTTTCTAGATATCACAGCTTAAAATTTAACATTATAAGGTGATGATCTTCAAACAGGACGGAACGTGCATTCTGGATTACAGTACTAGTCACCGAGTTGAAATTTCTCTTTCACCTTGGGTTTATAGTAGTGATCTACGAATATGCAATTATCCTTACTAAAACTAAACACAAGAAAGCTTATGTGGCATTGGGTGCGTTATACACCAATGTTGAAACAACTTATTTGAAAGATAGTGCATAATTTCTTTTAAAACATTAGAAAGGAGCTCGAAAACAAACTGATTAATTGACGAATATGTATATGAACCATTAAATCCTAACAAAATACAACTTACACAGTTTTGCATTCATTTTAGCTTCATTACTACAACAATCTTTTATATTTTCCAGATTACACACTGATTGGGACTCAGTATACACAACACAGACAAATAAACTGAGGATCAAAGTTAAACTTTCCAAACGGTACATCTGAAAAACAGCACATAAGAAGAAATATGAAAAGAGTCGTGAAATATCTTAGAAAATAAATAAAAACACAGTATTCATCAGGTTTCTTGGTGCCACTTACCTTCACGATAGAACTGTCAGCGTTTTGAAGGAATAAATGGGTGTGAATTTACACTGTAACAGGTTTCGTTAGCTGTAAGAAATGTTTTCCCAACACTTTATATACTGAACTAACCAATAAATGAGTTGATAACTACTGAACCAATCACAGTGTTCCCTTGATGATTGTGATCAGAGAGAGAGAGAGAGAGAGAAAGCAAAATCTGCAAAGAAATTTACTTGTACATCATTTTTCTCGCTTGACTTCAACTTTAGGCACGCACACAAAATCTAATGCAAACTATTAGATGATAAAACATTGTAGGTGTAGGGGTGACTTTAAAGGTCACCCTAGCAACAGTTGAAATAAACAGTTAAGTTTCTCCATTTTTGGTGGAAAGGCAGATTTACGTAGAATGGAGTAGTCCAACTGTTATTTAAGTGCCCTTAAAGTCACTCTAGTTGCTGCGACGATTGAATATTGTATGTTACGAAAGGCTAATAAATGCAGAAAGGAAGTGGAGAAATCAACTTTACAATTATTAGCAGAATAAGATTCAGTATGCACAAGTATTGGGAAAGAAACGATGGGTTCACATGTTACATCGAAAGTGTAGGATAAGCAAATATTTACGATAAACTTCAAAAAAGTACGATAAACGTAAATCTGTTACTCAAAAAAAAGATGATAAGAAGGTCACGAGATTTGGTCAAAAATGAATCTCTAGAAAAGAGTTAAGTAAACGAGAATAAGCTTCTCATAATGAATATATTATTTTTTTTCCCTTGGGTTCCTAGTGGAACATAGGGATTCAGTAGCACATCTCCATTACACTCTCCTCTCTGAAAACTTTCCAACCTGGCTGCACAACAGACCACAAGCTCTCATATCCTCCTCACACAATCTCCTCCATATCACCTTCACCTCGGCACTGACGCCCAACTCACCATTCCCCATCTGAGTTCCACTCGAGTGCCTCACCTGACGCGTGATGTCCCCAATCGGCCTTCTCAGTGTATGCTCACTCCAATCCATCTCCACTTCCTTCCAGTGCATATGTGTTGAGTTGGTTGGTTGGTTGGTTGGTTGCCAGTCAGCCAGAGTGAGTTCTTTGTTGTTCATTCTTACTATTCTGGCCATCTATTTGATCTTCAACTAACAAGTTGACAGAAGAGGCAGTGAAGACGGGACTTCAAGTGAATATAGAGAAGACAGAGGTGATGAAGATACCGCACCACCACCACCAACAACAACAAACCCCAGTCACCATCAACGGGAGAAACTTAAAGGAAGCAACCTCCTTCACCTATCTAGGAAGCACTGTTTCAACTACAGGCGCCACAGGCACAGACGAGGATGTCAAAATCAGAATCGGAAAGACTGCAAGACAGGCGTTCATTAGCCTGAAACCAGTGTGGAGATCTTCTGCACTCGCATGAAGAACAAGATCCGGATTTTCAACACCAACGTCAAGTCAGTGCTTCTGTATGGCTCAGAGACTTGGCGCGTTACGAAATGGATTTCCAATAAACTACAGACATTCGTCAACAACTGCTTACGCTGGCTCGCTACTGAAGATCAGATGGATTGCCAGAAAGAATAAGCAACAAGGAACTCTGGCTGGTGACGAACCAACCAAGAACCTATCACGCAACAAATATGCAGCAGGAAGTGGAGATGGATTAAACGGGGCATACACTGAGAAGGCCGATTGGGGATATCACGCATCCGGCCAGTTGCTTGAGTGGAACCCCCATTGGAAGCGACGAGTTGGGTGTCCGTGGTGAGGGTGACATGGAGGAGGTCGTGCGAGGAGGAAATGAGAGGTTATGGGCAGTTGTGGAACCAGGTTCAAAAGATCTCAGAGAACAGAGTTGAATGGAGACGTGCTACTGAAGCCCAATGTTCCACTAGGAACCCAAGGGACTAATAATAATAACAATAAAAATTTGATCTTCAGTATGGAGCCAGTGTAGGCGGCAGTTGTTGATGAATATCTACAGTTGTTTGTTAGAAATGTCTTTCGTAACGCGGCGCCAAGTCTCTCAACCATCACATATAAGCACTGAGTTGACTGAATTGGTATTGAAAATCCGGATGTTGTTCACGCGTTATGCTGAGTGGAGTGGAGTGGAGTGGAGTGGAGTGGAGTGGAGTAGATCTCCACACTGGTTTCAGGTTAATGAAGGCGTGTCTTGTTGTCTTTCCAATCCTGTCTGCTTTGACATCCTCATCTGTGCCGCCTCTGTAGTTGAAGCAATGCTGCCCTGCCTAGGTAGTTGAAAGAGACTACTTTCTTGAGGTTTCTCCCCTTGATGGTGATTGGAGCTTGTTGCTGTTGGTGGTGGTTAGGTATCTTCATTACCTCTGTTTTCTCTACGTTCACTTGAAGTCCCGTCTTCGCTGGCCTGCCTCTTCTGTCAACTTGTTAGTTTTTGCCTGTTTATCTCCAAGTTTGTGCAACACTGAACATAAATCATCGGCGAGATCCGATTCTTCTTCCAGGGTCTTCTCATCGGTCTAGTGTATACCCATCTTCTCGCTCCTCACTATATGTTGCATGATCCAGTCGACCACAATCAGGAAGATGATCGGTGATAGTAGGCAGCATTGTCTTACTCCTGACTTCACTTCAAAGGCGTCGCTGAGCTTTCCATCATCTAATTCAATAATGCTAAGCTAATCGGTCGACTTTAGTAAGTATCGAAAACTTGCTACCTATAAGTATCAGTATGTTGTAAATAATCAGTGTACGCGAACCGATCTTATATAGAATGGGTTGTTATCTAAACAACTTGCTGATACAGTCGATAGATTCGTTACACTGTAGAGAAGATTGAAGTTTCTCAGAAGAAATAAACGAAAGTGACAGCTGCGCCTTGGTGAAGCGTGCCAATTTCTCGTCTTACATCCAAATACAGTGCAATGAAGTGTCGTGTCAGTTGATTGATAGTTTTCGGTAACTACCTAGAGAATAGAAATTACCTGCAATATCAGATCACAGGGTCCTATAGTCTTAAACTCTGCAAATCTTCTCCATCATCTTAGAAGTCAACGTATTAACATTTACAAACATACGTAGAGAACAAATCCCCAAAAGGTGTTAAAAGTGAATGAAATCTAATTACTTTAATATCAGATATATTGTAAAAACACTTTCTCATTCATTCATGATGTTGAATTACATGAAATTCTTCAACTTTGTTTTGCCTATCACAACACCATCTAATAGTATCATAAGACTAACAGTCTGATACCATAAACAAGTTGGTAAATGAATGTTCACATCGAAGTCATTTTCTTGATTTGATCCGCTTAAGCAGAAGGTGTTGGCCTTTTTTCTATTGCATCATGAATTTATCACTGTTGCACGACTCTTTTTAGACTACGTGATTCCTATAACAGTAATCATCAAAACGCAGAGTTGTGTCTCATTGGTTTTAGGGAGTTGATTTCCAACCAGTTGGTCACTGATTCGAACACCAATCCACCTACTGAGATTTGGACAATCAGTTAGTATTATGAGCCATCCCACAACAGCTGAGGTTGACTAGCCACTGCTCAGTGAATTTTATTTCTTTTCTTCTGATTCTGAATAATCAGACTGAGAAAACTAGCCTCAGATAGTTCATAAGTTCTTTATCTAGCCTAATCTGACAATGGAAACAAATTCATTACTGTCCTTCAAATAATTCAGTAGACAAAGTTTGAAACTAAGGCTATCAAAACATCAACCTCTAGAAAACAGATACATCGAAATGATGAGTCTTAAATATGACGTAACTTCAGTTCTGGATTCCACTACTAGCTACTGCCTATCATTTATGTTAAACTAAGACTATAAAATTACTGAAGTCAGTCAATACAGACCTTTTGCTGTTTTGAATAAATTTTTATTTTCCACAATGTTAAAAATTTACGTGTCAAAAACGTTGGTTTTTAAATTTCATAGTTTGAACCTACAGGATAATTTAAGTGAATGTACATTTCATCCAGAAAATACTATTTATTAACGGTTAAATAGTACTTTCAGAAAATAAACTAAATATGCACTTGAAATTATACCTATGAAACAAGAGTGAGCTTGTGAAACTTGCTCATGAGCATAACCCAGCTTGGTTGATAAAGAAAGATCAGTTATAAGTCTTCAGCTCTGTAACAAAACCCTTAGTAAACTATCGAAACAAACCCATCTAATCATAGGAAAACACAGAAGATAACTGCAGGGAAGATAAAAAAATTTTTTCGACGAAATTCCAGAGTAACTTCTGGTCGAAGGTCAACATAACCTGCGTCACAAAGGAAAGTTATATAATGGGGAAATGAACAAAATAATTAGGAAATAAAGGTAGTTATGTCAAATAGGAGTTACCTAGAGTGATCTCTAGCCTACAGTGGCCATGGTAAAGAAGAAGGTTTCACACACTTTTTTTGAACGAATAATGTTATTACTTCAGCTATATCCAGATTTTGTCACCTCATTCCTTTCGAGTAGCTTAGTCGCACTTTGTACAGAATTTTGAAGGACTTACCAAAAGGAGCCAAATGTTTTGAATTTACTAAGTGTTTTGTTACTGAGCTGAGGATGCATTTCCATATTCTCCCCTTGTCAGTCAAGTTGGGTAGTGTTCGCTAGCGTATTGCATAAGCTGGTGCGTGGTACTGTTGATATACTGGGTTCCACAGGACGCAAGTAAACTTCTATAGACACATTAATGTGGTCCAATGCTCCAGCTTATCCTTGGCGTACTGAGGAATGAATTTCTGACAAGAGATTATGATTCCATGATTGGCAGCAAAGAATGTTCCGCTTATGCATCTTGATAGTCTCTTTCTAAGTATATCTACCATTTTATCTCTCTTGAATTCAAGGTTCAATACTAAAATCATTTTAGCAGCACTATACAAGCGTTCCATGGTGTTTGTCGGCTTTATATTCTTATCTGTAAATTTAAGTGGGTATCCATTTTCTATCAGAATTTTTAGCAAGTTTTCTAGTTCATCATGGATGGTATCCTCCGTACACATTCATCGTCTTCTTGAAAAGGGTGAATTGATAAGACTCCTCTTTCTGCTTAAA